TTCTTTCCTTTCTTCTTCCTTTCCTTTCTTTCCTTATTTGTTTCTTCATTTCTTCCGCTCTTTCATTTCTTTCTTTCCATCATTTCTTTTCCCCTCCTCGCACATTGCGTACCCCCCCCCCCACACACACACACATGCATGCTTTCTTTCGTTGGTCGACAAAGTTGTTTGTTGGCAGTTTGGAAGCTACAATAAACAAACTAAGAATGTTTTACTAAAACACGCACCTTCATTAATGAATGGCCCTATTTCAAAACCGTGTCTAAGTTAATGTTAACTGTCTCCAAAACGTATACGCCTCACTCAAACTTATCAATAGACAATAATTTATCAATAGAGGATAATTTATCAATATTTTAAGATAATTTTCATAATGTTTTAATGAATAATAATCTCTAGTTCTTATATTTTAGACATTTTTTTGTCAGGCATTGAAACGAGAATGACGGGATTGCGTTGTTTAAAACCAACACAAGGAGAAAATTTAGCTATAGACCTGGTACAAGAGTGCACAAATAGAGTTTCAAAATTATTGATGGTGATCCCCTCCATAAAAGTTAAAACCCCATTATTTGGCGTCATGTGTCAACACGTCGCTGATCACCATCGGTGATGACAATAAAACTGGATAGCAGAAATATTTCTTTGGATCAATCAACTGATGCAGTACGTCAAAAAAAAATATTGATGAAATGGGAGAATACATCTGACAATTTGATGAAATGAGAGAATACATCTGACAATTTGATGAAATGAGAGAATACATTTGACAATTTGATGAAATGAGAGAATACATCTAACAATTTGATGAAATGGGAGAATACATCTAACAATTTGATGAAATGAGAGAATACATCTAACAATTTGATGAAATGAGAGAATACATCTAATAATTTGATGAAATGAGAGAAGACATTTGACAATTTGATGAAATGGGAGAAGACATCTGACAATTTGATGAAATGAGAGAAGACATCTAACAATTTGATGAAATGAGAGAATACATCTAACAATTTGATGAAATGAGAGAATACATCTAACAATTTGATGAAATGAGAGAATACATCTAACAATTTGATGAAATGAGAGAAGACATTTGACAATTTGATGAAATAGGATAATACATCTGACAATTTGATGAAATGAGAGAATACATCTGACAATTTGATTGCAATGAGAGAAGACATCTGACAATTTGATGAAATGAGAGAATACATCTGACAATTTGATGAAATGAGAGAATACATCTGACAATTTGATTGCAATGAGAGAAGACATCTGACAATTTGATTACAATGAGAGAATATGTCTTAAATTTGTGAAAATTAAAATTACTTCTAACTATATGACAAGTGATTAAAAGCAAGCACATATAAATTAGTTTTAATAAAAATGACCACCAGTCACAAAGCGTTAGGATCCGCTAACCGATGGGTCATTTATCATCAATCAGACTTTTTTGTCCAACCACGCTTACACTTGAAAAATCATTATTATGAAATATGCTTGCCTCAAAAATATCTCAACAGAACATGCTTGGGGCAGGAGGAAGCCACTTTGATTCAAGAAGAGAAATGTTGCTTGCAGGACTTATTGTTGTGTTGAGTCTTCTCATTTCCAATGTCATCGCTCGACAGACCATAACCAATGGAGGTAAGTTGGGGTTCTTAAAAGTTATTCCCGAGACCCTTGAGGCGGGGGGGGGGGGGGGGGGGAGGGGGGAGGGGCGGTGATGGAAGACCCAGACATTTTTGAAGAATATTTTTTTTACAAATCTGCACACACACATATTTAAACAAAACTCCGGTATCTAAAGAAAAGAATAATAAACAACAATTTTTTAAAAAATAAATCATTAGAGCTGATTCTATTTTAACCAGCTTAAAGGTTATGTTCAGTTGTCACGTCTGCTTAAAGCGTATGTAAAGTTGTGACCTCTGCTTAAAGGTTATGTACAATTGTAACGTCTGCTTAAAGGTTAAATGTAAAGTTGTCATGTCTGCTCAAATGCTATGCTCAGTTGTGACTAGTTTGTGTGGTAAAAATCGATCATGATTAATTTAAACACCGGCTTGCTGCTGGGGCTGAATCTGTCTGTGGGTGCGCAGATGGCTCATCAGGCCGATTCTAACACGAATTGTTCTGCTGCAGAAAGTGCAGGGGATAGATGGGTTAACTCCCGGTACAGAGTTAACTCTGGTTTTACTAATTTGTCTTTTGTGTTCTGCAGCAGCTGTTCCTCCAGTCTCATGTTGCATTGAGCCCTTGTGTATTGAAGAGCGCCACGATTCTCGATCCTTCGAGGACTGTTCCCACATGTCCGGTTCAGTGTGAAGGGCTTTCAAAGATGCTTTCAGTGTGTCTTCAAAGCATTTCTTCTGTCTCCCAGCAAAGCGCATGTCCTGCCTGAGTTCAGAATAAAATATTTTAAGCAAGCGATTGTCTGAAGTTCTCACAACACGGCTCGCATAATAAAGTGTGTTTCCTACTGTCCATGTTTGACTGCTGTCTTGTAAACCTTTATTTTGGTTTAGGTGAAGAGGCCTCCCCTTATTCATACATTCTTAGAATTTGTTTCCAAATGTTGCGCTGGCGCTTGCAATTCGAAGGTTCACCTCAGCATCTATGGTTACCTTTGTAACAGTGTGCTGCCGAGGTGAGATTAGCTGTGCACAACTATAAACCTTTCACCATTGACTTGGATGCTGGGCTCGATAGTAAGGTTTTCGTGGAGCTTACTGGTACAGGACCTGAGTCTTCTTTGTGTTAGTGGTAAGACCAAGGTTTGTGCAGACAGCGGAGAAGTTGCATGTTGGCCTCTGATTCAACGTTAAGGGTACAGTAGTCGACATACATAAAGTCTCTGGTGATATCTGTCTGGACTCGGAATTTAGCGCTCAGTCTCCAGAGGTTTAATACTTTACCATAGTTTGGTCTCAGATACCGATTCCAATGTCTCTCTCTCTCTCTCTCTGTAAGCGACAGACAGCATTGCGGATAACATGATCCTGAAAAGTATTGGTCTCAGGACGCAAAATCGTTTGACGCCATTAGACACAGGGAATGGTTGAGATATCTTTCTATTTTCACGGACCTTAGCCTGTATACTATCGTGGAATTTCCGCACCATTGAAATGAACTTTTTGGGACATCCATATTTGCCCATGATCTTCCAGAGGCCTTCTCTGCTGATAGCGCCCGAGCCATGGTTGGGTCTACATAGGGGGAGAAGAGGTCAACATTTTGTTCCTGACGCTTTACCTACAGCTGTCTGGCCGCGAACATTATTTCGATAGTTTCACTCTCTTTTCGAAAACCGCATTTCTGTCAGTAGACAGTTCGCAAGATGCGAAATGATGGGGTTGAGGAGGATTCTATCGAGTATCTTGACTCCAATGTAGAGCAAAGATAAGCCAAATTAGTTGTCATGAGATGTACGATTCCCTTTAAGTGTGTATAAGCGGACAATGGATGCATCCTTAAGATCCTGTGGTATCTTCTCTTACTGCCTCATTAGTAGGAACCGTTGGTGAAGCCTTTCAGCCACAGCTGTGCCGCCTTCCTCATAAAGTTCAGCTGGAGTTGAGTCATCACCTGTAGTTTTGCCACAAGAGGCAAGGCATCCTATAGCTTTGGTGCGTCTCGTTTGAATGTCATTTACCGTGGTCACGTCTGCCATAAGATTATGTATGATTGTCGCATCTGCCTACTTTTGAGTTTATTAAAAACAATTAATTTGCAGCGCAGAAATCAAGTAAATTTCAAAACATGATTAATTCTAACTCTTCTGTTAACTATGGTTTTTAAAAAAAATGTAAATACATTGCAATTTAATCAGAGGTGACACCTGTCAGAGACGGCACTTGTAGGCCTCTGTGTAACAAAATGCATTTAAATAATCTGATGACTACTTTTTAATCGGGAAAGATGGTGCCAGAAATGTTGTGAAATTGTGAGGGGGATTCTCAAAGAATTTAACGTTTTTAGTACGGTATGTTTATTTCGGTAATCATTTGAAGATGTTTGAAATATTTTGGGGGTTGCTATAAAAAGAAGTGCGAGCAGTTGCTGGTGTTCTGGACGTTGAAGATGGCTTGACATATGCATCGACTTGTATTCTGCAGTGCCCGGCCCGCCGTGTGGCGGCCACAGATGTGCCCCCGGCGCCCGATGTGTCAACAACAAATGTGTCTGCCAGAGTCCGAAACAAGGCATAGGCAGTTTTGTTTGTGTACAACCGGGTAGGTAGAAAACATGGCATTATGTCTACATACAGATAGTACATATGGTACTCTGTGTACATACAGATAGTCAATCAATATGACATTTTGAATATGGCATTCTGTGTACAGCCAGGTACACGGTACTATCTGTGTACAGCCAGGTACACGGTACTATATGTGAACTAACATATCAGGTAGACAGTAGCATCTCTATATTCATGTTAATAAGATTAAATATGACATTAAATTTGATTGAATTAATTGACGACCTCTATAGTTAATCTATTGACGACCTCTATAGTGAATCTATTGACGACCTCTATAGTTAATCTATTGACGACCTCTATAAGTAATCTATTGACGACCTCTATAGTTAATCTATTGACGACCTCTATAGTTAATCTATTGACGACCTCTATAAGTAATCTATTGACGACCTCTATAGGTAATCTATTGACGACCTCTATAAGTAAAAATCTACTCGTAGCACTGAATAAGATAGTTTTTCTTGTTTTTTTTTTAAATTTGCAAACTTAAATACCTTTGTAAAATTTCCACAAATGTTTCAATTTTCCTCATTTTCTTTATCTCAAAGATGAAATGTTTTGCGCTATATTCAACGATCCAATGGTCAGGTCTTTTGGTGCAGAACACGTGCACGTGCCGCTGGGGATGAAGTTTTTTGCTGCACATGTTTTAAGCAACACGTGCAAGAGGAAAAACTCTAAGGTCGTCAAGAGCGACGGCAGTTGTGATGTCCGGGTAAGTTGGCTCATGGGCAGTTGTGATGTCCGGGTAAGTTGGCTCATGGGCAGTTGTGATATCCGGGTAAGTTGGCTCATGGGGAGCTGTGATATCCGGGTAAGTTGGCTCATTGGGAGTTATGATGTCCGGGTAAGTTGGCTCATGGGCAGTTGTGATGTCCGGGTAAGTTGGCCCATGGGCAGTTGTGATGTTCGGGTAAGTTGGCTCATGGGCAGTTGTGATGTCCGGGTAAGTTGGCTCATTGGCATTGGGTTATAGATGTGTTTGGTCATGGTCCACCGAGTAAGCGAGATCATTGGCATGGATTTCAGATGTGTGTTTGGTCATGGTCCACCAAGTAAATGAGATCATTAGCATGGGTTTCAGATGTGTGTTTGGTCATTGTCCACCAAGTAAGTGAGATCATTGGCATGGATTTCAGATGTGTGTTTGGTCATTGTCCACCAAGTAAGTGAGATCATTAGCATGGGTTTCAGATGTGTGTTTGGTCATTGTCCACCAAGTAAGTGAGATCATTGGCATGGATTTCAGATGTGTGTTTGGTCATGGTCCACCAAGTAAGTGAGATCATTGGCATGGATTTCAGATGTGTGTTTGGTCATTGTCCACCAAGTAAGTGAGATCATTGGCATGGGTTTCAGATGTGTGTTTGGTCATTGTCCACCAAGTAAGTGAGATCATTAGCATGGGTTTCAGATGTGTGTTTGGTCATTGTCCACCAAGTAAGTGAGATCATTGGCATGGATTTCAGATGTGTGTTTGGTCATGGTCCACCAAGTAAGTGAGATCATTGGCATGGATTTCAGATGTGTGTTTGGTCATTGTCCACCAAGTAAGTGAGATCATTGGCATGGGTTTCAGATGTGTGTTTGGTCATTGTCCACCAAGTAAGTGAGATCATTAGCATGGGTTTCAGATGTGTGTTTGGTCATGGTCCACCGAGTAAGTGAGATCATTGGCATGGGTTTCAGATGTGTGTTTGGTCATGGTCCACCGCGTAAGTGAGATCATTGGCATGGGTTTCAGATGTGTGTTTGGTCATTGTCCACCAAGTAAGTGAGATCATTAGCATGGGTTTCAGATGTGTGTTTGGTCATGGTCCACCGAGTAAGTGAGATCATTGGCATTGGTTTCAGATGTGTGTTTCGTCATGGTCCACGATGTTGATTGGTTTTTTAATATTTAAAAGTTTTTTAAAAAGAAAAAAAAAACTTACATCCAAACGTCAATTGAAAAAAAAACCTTCAATATATTTGTTTATTTTGTAATCTTATTTTTACCATATTTTCCCATTGTTAACACCTATTTCGGTGGCAAAGTCAAAATGTAACAAGCGTTTCCCCCAAACCATTACGAGCCACTTTCGGACCATTCCAACACAAGGTAGGAGACTCACGGAGACTGTTGAAATATAGCGGAATGACATCGTTCATGTTCAGAGCGTGATTCTGATAACCTATGCCTGGCAGTTTTAGTTTTAGCTCTAGGAGAGGACAGCGCTAGAGATGATTCTAGAATCGACAACTTCATCTCAAAGCAAAACTGAACATGACAACACCAGCTATATGACACCTGATCGTCATTCATATTGAAGCATTTCGAATGTATCAACATGTTGCCAACAACACACCATATCGTCATTCATACTGAAGCATTTCTAATGTATCAACAGGTCTATGCCTGGGGGGGCAGACGTCGGGGCAAAACATTCTTAAAGGGTATAGAGGTGAAGATTATGGTGACCACTGATACAGGATTGTACCATCATGCAACGCGGATCTATGGTGAGGCCCGTTACGGTGCATACAAAGTAAGTTCGCCATGATAATTCTTTCAACAAAACAAACACTTTAAAATTAAGCTTTTCCAAAAATGTATTAAAAAGTGTAAAATAATCCCCCCCCCCGCCCCCGAAATCTCATACTCGTTACAGTAGAATGACTAAGAAAGCGTGGGGCGCCCATGAAATGCAATGATGTCGCAGGGCTCGACAGATACAATGTTATACACATGGATACGTTTCGATTGCTGCAAGTAAATGTTATGTAACATAGTTGTTACGACACCGATTATTTAATCGTGGAAATACGAGTTCTCACAACTGTCTTGCGTTACTGTTGTATGCTCCCATCGATGGTGATCTTGAGAAGTGGAATGAAATTAGCGATACCACTGCGTGCATGACTTGGCGATTTGCAAAGAAAATTCAGTTCATGGGCGTCCCATGAATTTTTAAACCACATGACTGTAACAGCGCTGAAGTTTTGGAGAACATTCATTTTATTCTTTTTTTTTTTTTAGCAAATTTTGGGAAAAGCGTGTTTTTTAAAAAGCATTTTTTATATTGGTTAATTTTATTCTTTTTTAGTCTTGTAAGAGGAAAAATCATTTTTTTTAGATAATTGAACATAATTTAAGAAGCTTTTTTTTTTTTTTTTTTTTTTTTTAGCAAATTTTGGGAAAAGCGTGTTTTTTAAAAAGCATTTTTTATATTGGTTAATTTTATTCTTTTTTAGTCTTGGAAGAGGAAAAATCATTTTTTTTAGATAATTGAACATAATTTAAGAAGCTTTAACCATGCATAAGGAAACGCTATAGTGAAAACCCGATGTTCCAACATTTTCCGTTCCTAAGATATCCGCTGAGGTCATTCAAGGGTCAGTGTAGATCATGAAGGGTTGTATTGTCATCGGGGGTGGGTAAGATTACAAAGTGTCAGCTCAGTTTGAGATCAGGAAGTGGGCCAAAAATTGATATGCAAGACTTGACAACACACACACGAACAACACCCCCCCCACACACACACATTAAAGTGTTTGTATAAATCCTTTATATGGATTTATTTAACTGCATATGATTTATCATTTATTTATAAGTGCGAAGTTTCAATTCGATAACATGGCGGGAAGTGGGTCAATTAGCCTTCCGAAGATTTTTGCCACACAGACACACGAACAAAAGCGAAGTTCATTATAAACGATTTAAAAATGGCATGACAGATGGCACTAGCAGTGACAGGAATCGATCCAGACTTCAGCCTAATTTAGGCATATGACGTTTTGTCCACACACACACACACAAAAGAGTGTATCAACTTTTTAAAATCGTTATCAACCTAATTCATTGTGTTATGTCGTGCAATTATTAACAGACATCGCCTCCGAATGCCGCCCGCAAGAGATGTCCCACTCCAGTGAATTGCGTTCAAAGTCTCAGGCATTAGAAATAAGTTTAAAACTATCGCCGTGTCTGAGCACTGTTTGAAACCTTTTGAGGGCGTCGAGACATGGTGGCAGCGTCCTCCGTACGGTATATCATCGTCTGAATTTTACACGCAGTGCTATACAGAGTTATGGACTCCTCAGGGACCGTGACATATTATATACAGTGAAAGGGTAGGGAGGGTTAATTTAGCATTTTTGTTGTATTATGGGGTGGTGGTGGTCCAGAACAAGGGTAGATCTATATTACAATTCCTTTTATTATTTCAATTATTGTTTCTGCGAAATTTATGCTCTAAAAAAAAAAAAAAAAAAAAAAAAACAATTTCTCAAAATAATTAGCATATAATATAAAAAGAAAATATATTTCTGGCATTTTACTTGAAACTTTCTTGTTTCGACTTCCTTTTTAAAAAAAAAAAATTAAAGGGGGGGTGGGGGGAGTGGTTGTTAGAAATTTTATATAATATTAAGGGTTTTTCAATGGACATGTTCTATAACGGTATTAGATGTAACGATGGGTATAAATGGCATATTTTTGTGTTATGCAATAAGTGCACGGTCACTTATTTGGCTGTATCCAGATTTCCAAGGGCCCTTCTTCTGGCCTTGAACCGTTTCTCATTGAGGACTGTCGTTTAAGGTCACGTTCTATTTTTAGCCTTCCCTTTCAGTTCACAGAAGAAGGCAACACGTTCGCGTTTGGCAGTGGGCTGTACGGGTGGCCAGTTCAAACACAGATACCAGATTATGGATACATCCGGACCGAATACGACAACGTCTACAACATAGCGATACTCAATGTGGAACTGTGTGGTATCGTAGTCGCTTTAAGGTGAGGGAATGTGCCTTGAAAAAATATCGTATTCTCATTAAGGTAAATGACTTGGTCATGGCGTATATTCACAATATAGCTATCGCAATGATATGCAGAGAAGCCTAAAAATCACAATCACCATTCTTCACTTCACCACGTTCGACTGACAACAGCCCAAGACCAAAAAGCCTGGGCTCTTCCATGGTAGATGGCAAATAGTTATTGTTAAGATTCAGATTTGAAAAGATCCTCCCAAAAGGAGCCAGAGACAAACAGATTGTGAGATTTAATTGTTGGCGAAATGAATAGGATCGTGGAGAGACTCTTAGGAAGTCCCGTGCTATGAAATTCAAATCGTTAAATTTCCACCAATCATTGGCGTCATCAAGATAATTATATGCTGCTTTCGTTTGCCTTCGCAGCCTTTATTTCAATTAAAAGTTCACTTTCCGATAACTCATCCTAGAAAGGGGTCATTTTTGCAATGGACACCAGTGGCTCTTCTGAAGTTGCTAACAGTAGATTTTTAGCATGAACAGACTCTATCGCAACTTCTACTTCTTTCATGGCTGTTGATCGGATTCGGAGTTCAGAATGAAAACGATCAATTCAAAGGCATCGCTGTCTCATTGTTCGTCCTGATGGGTGAATCCGCCATCTCTTGACTGGGAGAATTAAGGTTATCGGCTTCTTCACATGTTGTTGGAAATGGACCTGTCTATGCATGTTAGCGGTCACGTGCTATTTACATACCACTAGACTGTGCACGTTTTTGCGATGTCGGCCCATGGTCAACTGGGCCACTATTTCCTTGAGGACTTGGAAGGCAATGGTCTTACCATCACCCAAGAAAGTTACAGGGCCATGGTGATCGAAACCATCTCATACGGATTTGAGACGGTTCTTTCGTGCAAGGAACCTTCCCATGAATGGAGAGTGGCATAAACAGGACGGGGGGAACCAGCCATTTCGCTCGAGAATCTATTGCCATGCTGCAAGTTTTGAATCACGTCACGTGGTACTGACTTCCCATACCCGTCTCAATCCCCCGATCTTACGCCACCTGATGCCTACTTTTGGGGAATCTTAAAGGGGAGTGTGTTCAACTGTGAAGATCCACCAAGAACTGTGAAGATCCACCAAGGACTGGGAAAATCCACCAATACCTTTGAAGATCAACCAAGATCAGTGCATTCATTGCGCGACAAAATAGTCTCCCTTTGCAGCTACCATTTTTCAGTGATACCGGGGAATGTTTGAAAATCTACGCTAGCGATATGAGCACTGTACAGCGAGGCAGTGCTAGCGATATGAGCACTGTACAGCGACGCGGTGCTAGCGATATGAGCACTGTACGGCGAGGCGGTGCTAGCGATATGAGCACTGTACGGCGAGGCGGTGCTAGCGATATGAGCACTGTTTTGCGAGGCGGTGCTAGCGATATGAGCACTGTACGGCGAGGCGGTGCTAGCGATATGAGCACTGTACGGCGAGGCGGTGCTAGCGATATGAGCACTGTACAGCGACGCGCTGCTAGCGATATGAGCACTGTACGGCGAGGCGGTGCTAGCGATATGAGCACTGTACGGCGAGGCGGTGCTAGCGATATGAGCACTTTACGGCGAGGCGGTGCTAGCGATATGAGCACTGTACGGCGAGGCGGTGCTAGCGATATGAGCACTGTACGGCGAGGCGGTGCTAGCGATATGAGCACTGTACAGCGACGCGGTGCTAGCGATATGAGCACTGTACGGCGAGGCGGTGCTAGCGATATGAGCACTGTACGGCGAGGCGGTGCTAGCGATATGAGCACTGTACGGAGAGGCGGTGCTAGCGATATGAGCACTGTACGGCGAGACGGTGCTAGCGATATGAGCGCTGTACGGCGAGGCGGTGCTAGCGATATGAGCACTGTATGGCGAGGCGGTGCTAGCGATATGAGCACTGTATGGCGAGGCGGTGCTAGCGATATGAGCACTGTATGGCGAGGCGGTGCTAGCGATATGAGCACTGTACGTCGAAGCGGTGCACACTATAAACATTTACGTTGCCCCATACACGCGGTAAATCAACACACTACAAGCGTGTATGTTAGTTTCTGTCACGAGAAATGCGTTTGCAGATGACAATAAGGAAAACTAGTTACTCTTTTCTTTTCAGTACAGTAACTTTTGGCGCATGCTGTAATACTACAGGCGAGTCTGTATTATGCGGTTTAAGAATTTAATCTCATGTCAGTTTTTCTGTTATTGTTAATTTTATTGACGGCACTTGTACAAATATTTTTAAAAAATCATCTCAAAATGTGTGCATTTAATAATGTTTTGTATGAAACACCCGGACCCTGTTACGCTTTTTTTCCCAGTCCGAGTGTCGTCCGGGTGTGTAATACTCGGAATATCCGGGTCATACCCGGCTCAGTCCTAGAAATAACCAATTTTACTTTACTCTTTACAGACCAGCAGAGCTTGAAGAAGATCCATTATTGCTACCATCTGGCATGTTTATTTCTGTTACGCAGCCTTGTGGTGAGTGTACTTTGTCGCATAGAAAAAAAAAATGTAGGAAATTATCTAAGAAAAAAAAAAATTAGGGAATTTTCTAAAACGGGGGGGGGGGAGGCAAGGGCCCCCCCCCCCCCCCGGACTGTAGCCACTCCAATCACTGGTTCGCAATATTTCAAACCATCCTAGTTTATATCACTAGCCTATTCCTACCCCTGAGTGGTCTACACACGCTTTTTGAATCCTAGTTGGTTAGCTTTTGCCGGCATAATTTATGAAAAGGCTTTGCTTAATTCTGTTATAATTTGTGTGACTTTCTACAACTGAACTATATTAGTATTATTATTATTTCTCAAACTCCAGGAATAAAGTACCTCTCTATTGAGCAGAGCTTGTGCTCACCTCCCCCTGGAGACGGGCCCTCGCTGGAGGACCAGGCAGCTGAGCTGTCCGCGAGGGTTGGGACACGTGTGTCAATAAAAACTATGGCCCTGTACAAGGTCATAACAAGTGACGTCACTCAGAATTTGTAAGTAGAGGATAACAGCATGACGAGGCTGTGACGCGGGCTTGGAATAACTCGTTATTTCAGTAGGGTTTAACACCAATCTGTGCCAGTGTCCCCCAAAGATATACATTCAGCCCTCATACTCATAACGAAATAGTTACTTGAGGTAATAGCCAAGGAAACCCTGTTTCTGTTCAGCGGCTTTTTCTGTGGGGTTGGGGGGGGGGGAGGGGGTGTGGAGGTGGCTGTCCACGGGCAAGGTTGACTAGATTCACCACTGGTGCAGAATGTCTTTGTCTTTTGTCTTTACCGTTATTGCTGCAAACTGCTGAAAGATTACTCGGATGGGGCTGGTGACTCCAGGCCCAACCCTCCGCCTTTAACCTAACCCGGGACAGGCTGCTAGTCACGGGAACAAGCTGTTGGTCAACAGAACTTCAACGGGACAAGCTGTTGGTCAACAGAACTTCAACGGGACAAGCGGTTGGTCAACATAACTTCAACGGGACAAGCTGTTGGTCAACATAACTTCAACGGGAACAAGCTGTTGGTCAACATAACTTCAACGGGACAAGCTGTTGGTCAACAGAACTTCAACGGGACAAGCGGTTGGTCAAAAAAAACTTCGCCGACATCATTCCCCAAATATAATCAATGCCCAATCTAAGGTCCTGTTTTAGAAAATAATATAATAATTTTGCCCTGAACTCTAAAATGCCAACTGTTTCAGTCCTGGGGCTTCCCCCTTCCACATCATGATGAGTGAGACGGCCAAAACGTGCGACTTGGAGATACTAATCCCAGCCCTGGAGCAATGTGGCTTCATATTGCAACATCCAAAAATGTTCAACTGCATCGATACCACAACAGACATGCAAAAGGTAAACTGCTCAATCATTCCAGGTAGGTACTGAATCATTCCAGGTAGGTACTGAATCACGTAGGTAAGTACTCAATCATTCCTGGAAAGCACTGAATTATTCTAGATTGATACTGAATCATGCAGGTAAGTACTGGTACTGAATCAATCCAGGTAAGTACTCAATTCTAGGTAGGTACTGAATAATTCCCATTTAGCACTTAATCATTCCAATTTATTTTTTAAATACTTCACTTCCGAATCACGCCAGCCAATGAAAATGCACTATGCTCAAAGAAGTACCAATGATAAATTGATAAAGTATTGAGGCATTCTTTTATTCTACTACAGGAAGATATCTGGAAGACATGCAGTGCTTTCAATTTTTTTTATTACAGTATAAGTTTTTACCAATAGGGCACCACTTGAGTAGCCATTCAGCACCACTAGACTAGCAATAGAGCACCACTATAGCAATAGAGCACCATTATAGCAAAAGAGCACCATTATAGCAAAAGAGCACCACTATATCAATAGACCACCACTGGACTAGCAATAGAGCACCACAATGGCAAAAGAGCACCATTATAGCAAAAGAGCACCACTATATCAATAGACCACCACTGGACTAGCAATAGAGCACCACAATGGCAAAAGAGCACTACTATAGCAATAGAGCACCACTATAGCAAAAGAGCCCCACTATAGCAATAGAGCACCAAATAACAAAGAGCTATTCCTATAAGGCCCCTCAGTGTCATTATTGTTATCAATTTAGAATATGTGTGCCTTTACCTCATGTAAAAGTATCACTGTTTATTAATCAGTAGAGCACTACTATAGCAATAGAGCACCACTAGACAAGCAATAGAGTGCCGCTGTAGCAATACAACGCCACTACGGGCCATGGGAGCAGACGGCTTGAGAACCAAAGTGGCAAACATGTCTCTAATGTCATGCCATTTGTCCCCATTTCCCAGGCTGTCTACATGATTGACGAATGCTTCTTCGCTTACTGTGAAAGTAATAGTGCGTTGTGCAAGGAGGTGCAGATCAACATCAGAACTTCTGGCTGTGCAGACAAGGTTCCTACACATGAGCGGACCATAATGAACCACACCTGCGACTTTGACTACTGAAAGCAACATCAACATGTTTCAGAAGACATTTCGTAAAAAACTGAATGATTTAATTATTACTGAATTCATGCTTTCCCATCAGAATGGTGGTATATAAACAGATTGTATTTTCAAGGTTTAAAAGTTTATCTCTGTTACAGCACACAATCCCCTAAAAAAAATGCTTTTAATCTAAATAACTAGTTTTTTTTTAAATAATTTGGGTTGAACCACATGTACTAAAATTATAACTACTGGGTGTACAGAAGTAGAGCATCAAAGAAAATTTGGATTGTAACATTTAACAACAGTTTGTGTTATTTTAACAAGGCATATTGATAACAGTGATATAATCTCAAAGATGATTTAACAACTTGCCAGGCTGGCTCTGACATTCTATGGGAACATCTGACATTCTATGTGAACATTATGTATTTAGATTTAATTCTAAGAGAAATTCTGAGAGCTGACCTGATCAACAATGACTTGCTTTTTGTTTATTATTTGGAATGTTCATCGTTCAAATGAAATATTTCAATTTACTTATGCCACTGTTACAGTGATAAAAAAAGTGTGTTTTTAAACTCTCACCAAAGTTGCTCTATCTAAGATCTCAACTGAACATTCTATTGAATATTAGCATGTTAAAATAAAACATATAGAGAAGAAGAAGAAGGAGGAGATAAAGTCAATTTAATGAATTGAGTATTCCTTTTGCCATTAAAGGAGAAAGAAGTCAGGTGTTTTGGAATATGTTTATTTTCAAGCACAACTATGTACACATTACGTTGTCAATCCAAGCTCTCTCATTCACAGTCACTCAAAATGCTGGTTATGACATGTCTGTGTCATCCACATGGTTTTCCTTGTAGTATTTTGTAGAGGACTGAAAACATAATGAAGTAAACCTGGATATTTTCATCAGTTACTTTGAGGGAATATTTCAAAGAAGGTTCTAAAGGACATCAAACATTTTGGAAATAATTTTTTTTTAGCTTGAACGTTCTAAGACACATAGCATTATTAATTAGTGTCTTAACTGACATGAACTTATTTCATGTTAGTGTTTGCTCCAGCTATTTTCAGCTGCTGGTTTTCAAAAACATGCCAACATGTCATTCACAATTCAACAGATATTTTTATTGGTCATTGGCTATTCATTTTAAATTTATTGAGGATTTAAATATGAGTCACATGACTTCTCAAGAGCATTAGACTTGACCAGTGTCATGAATGAAATAGCTCCATCATGGCAACAAACCTATTTTGCAACCAATCTACAAGTACAAATACATGATCAACCATTGTGACAGTGACATTACTTATAATAAACTTACTTCAAATGTTGTGAGCATATGGCTGCACATCTGTTTCAGATCCTTGAAGGCCTGTTTTAAAACATCAACTGCTGGTCGACCTGGATAGGATGTTTAAAAAAAAATTGAATTAAAGCAAAGTTAAATTTCCAATCATTGTCATCCTTAAAAATGAATGTCCTACTCTAAATGGAAACATTCAAAAACTATATTATATAAGAATACTTAAGGAAATTTGATGAGTAATTTTCACATTTGTAATAAAACAAATATGTCTGGGATTTAAAATTAAATAATAAACAAATAATGGAGTGAATTTGTGACATTTCCATTTATACTTAGTTACAGTTATTCATAAGTAATTTTGGGGATAAAGTCAAAATTATTAGCTGCAAAAAAAAAAAAAAAAAAAACTTTTGCCAGTTATGCAAACTTAAAAGCAAAATAGAATCAGACAAATTGTACGGGCAGCTTAAAAGTAGTAAATAGAACGTCTTTGCCGTGAGGAGAAACTCTGCTTACCTGATGTCTGAATACGGAGGTTTATTTTGCTTTCAGATGGATGTGTTATACTGTAACCTACAAATATTACCTCTGGGCTGAAAATATATTATGTTGGAATTATGTCTCAACCACATTCGAGCAATTTTTTTTAGCTTTTGGAAATTATTCTTTCATTCCCAAAAACTTATGACATCTTCTCCCTAGTAATCCCTATACATTTTACGCTCTATATATGTCTTTTTTAATTTACAGGGTAAAACTGAGAGTTAAGAAAAGATTATCCTTTAATATACTCTTTAGTTTCTACTTTCGAAATGTCTAGAAATTGAATTTTTTTACATTTATTAGCAGTATTATTTTATAACAAAAATACATAATGATACTGCTATTACAAAAATAACTCTTTCATTATCTTTTCACAAGGAAATATTTTTACTAGAAGTATAAAATGGGCCTACTTTTTATTTAAAATATATTTTAATGCATTTCCTAAAGTGTGGTCTTCATCATGAAGTATAAAAGTCTGCACAGTTTCATCTCCATCATTTCTTGTATCCAGCTAAATGAAATATGGCATGAAGTGAAAAATTAATTTAAAAAAAATTAGAATTCTAACTGCAGGCTGATATAGACATGATACAAAAAAACTAAATGATGAACAAACATAACAAACATTGGAACCCAGCTGAAAGGCAAGTTTGACTATAATGCAAACGTGGCATGGCTCCTAAAATTTCATACCTACCTACTTGAACATAATTTTTTTTTTTTTCAAAGTACCATAGAGGTGGAGGAAAAAAAAAGTATAAAATATATACATATATTCTCCTGCAACATAATCCCAAATCCACTCTAACTAATTAAACTTCAACACCCCAATCAACTATAAATGACAAGAGATTTAAAAATGTGTTTTTAAAATAATGAAATGCCCTAATCCTATCTTCCTTTATTTTAAAAATCTTAAGGCTATTTGCAAGGAATATGGTAAATCCAGCATTTAAGACGTTAACGTTACTGACGGTAAGTTACAGTTACATTAATCATTAATGTCGCTGTGACATAATTAATGTGATAATTGGTGTCCATAAATCTAGAGGTTTCACTGCACTTATTTATAGGATAGCCTCCTATTATTTTGTAAGTCATAAGCCTTGCAAAAATTTAAAGATTAATGTGAAAAGATAAGATCACTCAATACTCAAAAGAACAGTATGTCATGTCAGTTATTTGTCAATACAATTATCTATAAATAAAAGTAAAATTACATTATTAAGCCTAAAAAGTAAGAAGTTTTGATGTATTTATGCAATAGGATCATTGAAAATATAAATGAAATTACCATTTCCAGTGCAGGTTTTTTCATTGTTTCTTGAGTTGCCATAATTCAACCTGAAAAAAAAAAAAACATGTCAACCACTCATCAGAAACTTATCAATCAATTTAAATAAAAATAATTGTAATTTAAAATTATAAAATAAATGTTAGTTAGTTATTAGGCCCAGTACCGGATTTAGATATAGGCTGCTGCTAGAGCCGCAATTTCCATAGAGACAAATATATGGGGAAAAATAATGGAGAAAATATGGAAAAAGTATGAAAGAAAAATTAAGATAACAAAGAGCTATTTCTATAAGGCCCCTCACTGTCATTATTGTTATCAATTTAGAATATGCGTACCTTTACCTCATGTAAAAGTATCACTGTTTATTAATTATATATTAATGTTAATTTTGTAGAAAGTACATGAAAATAATATAACTGTGACCCAATAACTAGTATTTAGTTAATAACATAAAAATATATAAGTGTTTTACTCTCATTCATGTACAGAAGACCGTTGATTTTCAAACTAATTGAGGGTAGGTGGGGGAGGGTTTGTGTTCTGATAACAGACCACTATCATGGAAAGGTTGTGTTAAAAGAAAAATTTAGAGTCATGATTAAATCTATAAATATCTTATAGCAATTCAAATTCAGTGTTTAAATGGGCCATCCATTTATTACGTATGAGGCGGGAGGCAGAATGAGTACATACAGTGGCGTAGCAAAGGTAATGTCCCCCATGGGGTGGTCCAAGATGTTTGCCGCCCGCATCCAAGAAAAAACTCTACAGTTGGCAGAAAATACTGCCCCTCCATATGAAGATTTTTTATCTATATAAGGAGGGGCGGTATTTTTGATCAATGGAAGAGTTTTTTTGAGTGGAAAGAGTGGTAAACATCTTGGATCACCCCACTCATCACCTAGACTGAACATTCTGCATTGATTAACCTGAAATTCTGACAGATCATAAAAAGCATATAACCTCTAATAAAGTCAACTGTCATCTAAAAATCTGAAACAATATTAATTTGCCTTGTGATTTACTGTAGTCTACCATAAGCCTTTCAATTTCTGTTTGTTTTACTGATGAAAGTATTAGCGTAGACCAAACATCTTAAATGTGTAATTTTTCTTAAAATAAAGCTTACCTAGACTGTTTTATGTGCAAATGATATTTGAGTCTTATTAACAGACCCGTTTACCCTCGAACTCCTAAAATCGTACAATAATGTCTTAACAGAAAATCAATAAACAAACAGTATATATAATGTATACAATAACTATTCGCATCGCATGTCTAGTGGAATCGAGTTAAGCTGATGTCAAAAAAGGTAACTGAAGGTAAAAGTAGATGACTGACGATTATATTGCAATATGTGGTCACTTTTTTTGCAGACATGTGTCTGCTATAGATATCAATTAATATTCAGGTGAAAGTACAGATCACATGATCACAGTCTCTCACCAGTAAAAATAAAGACACTGTTGAAACTCAAAATCAGATCAGCATAAAATAAAATCTATTAGAATATGAATTAACACATTCAACCATCATTAAAAAAAAATGTACCAAGTGACTTGAGATTTATTTTTTAGGAAAACTTGTTTTCAAAAAAATAACAAGAATCAATATCCATTATGCCCATTTCCTGTTAACATAATACAGTCTGATAACTACCACAAGCTTTAAATTGGTGAAAGGAAGAGTGGTATTAAAAATTGTACAGCCCCCTCAAATGCTATTTAATATGTTGAAATCTAATATTGCTGCACTGAACAATTGAGAGTGCATTCTCTAGTTTTTTCCCTTTCTGCACTTGCCGTGGTCCAATCATAAGAAATAATTATGTCACATACAGCACCGAAGCAAAAAAATATGAGGAGGGGCCATCTTTATGGTACGTATGCAAAAAATGTCAAATTTTTTACCTCCTCCCCCTGTTGCACACATAATTTTTTGGTGACCCCCATTCGAACGTACAATGAGCTTTCAAAACACACAGCCCCCCTTCCCAAAATAAGACAACCAACAAAATGCAATGATTTTTCTATAACTATGATTAACAGTAAACAAAATGTGACACAGGTTTTCACTGCTGGCTATTCTGCGAGCCCAGTGGTTCCCAGAATATATGCCGCATCACCCTGGGTGCTCACTGCCCTCTGAAAGGGCCATGAGAATGGGGTGAAGAGCTACAATTCACCTGTTGGCCTTTAAGTAATAGGCCTACACAACAAAGTCCTACACCCTACCTGCCAGTGCCTTTTTTATTATCGCAATTCTCTCTCCCTCTCAGCATTGCTTCCTTCTAGAATGCATCATTGCTTAACCCCCATCCCCACTTTGTTTTGGTAATATACCCAAGTATTTTTTTCTATTAATTGTTTGCGAGATACCCAGTAAATGCGGCTGTACTGTTTGCGATCACGTGACAAGGCTGACGAACAAATATCTCGCGCCACTTTGTTATAGCGGTCATGTGACTTGGTCGCCGGACGAATATCTCGATAAAGAATTCGTCCGGTCGCCGGACGTGTAAACACTGTCTTAAACAATAGTCCTAGACAGACTTACACCATACCTGTGACCGTGGCTTTTTATTGATTAATATAATAGTCGCCTCCCCCAAAGAAAAAAATTAACCTATTTAGCAAGTTCAATCATCAAGAATGAAGCTCTCTGCGTGACAGCCTTTTTTGTCACTCAGTTCAGTACAAGTACAAATAACGGTAAATGGTGATCGTGGATGCCATGATTGGCCACCATCTTGGTTGAGAAACCAGTTGATTCTGTCACTAAATCTAAGTAAATGTATCCCGAAACCTAACCTGAACCATAAATGTATCCTTAAACCTTAACTGAACCCTAATTCACGGCAACACCTAAAAGATGTGGTGGCATCCACAACTATCATTAGCCTACTAAAAATATAAAACATGTGGATTTAGGGTAGGGGAAAGTAAGCATTTTTTATTCTTGCCTATATATAGCTTAAACTTTACCCTGCTTGCTAATGTTGGCAGTGAATATGAGTAGGCCTCTGAACTGTTAAATTTGACTTCCACTTGGTTTTGTAAATTTAGTAAATCATTATTTTATTTTATTAATCATTACAAAAATTAAAATATAAACAAAGAAAGTACAATAAAATACAATGACTCAATGATCAATGTTAGTCGATAGTCTAACTGCAAAACAACTTCCTAAATTATGTCCTGTTACATGGGCAGGAGGCTATTTCATTATCAAGGTATAACTCACCAAGTATGGTATTCGGAAAAACCTATATTGCGTGCTTTATTTATATTAAATAATATAAACGTTTAGAGTCTAATAAATCCAACAAACTATAAATTTTAGTTGTCTTACACAAATAAAGGAGAGTAGCCCCCCTTCCCTTTAAAATTCTCCGAAAGAAGTTTCGCTTTAAACAAATAAAATAATAATAATAATTTTAATTATAAAAAAAAACCATGGAAATAATACAGTGGAATCTCTCATAACGAGCATAATTCGTTCCAGAATCTTACTCGTTAAGCGAAACACTCGTTAAACGAAACAATTTTTCCTATACAATTCAATGTAAAATACGATAATGTGTTCCCTGCTGAAAAATACACATTTTTCAAAAAATTGTATTAACATTTATTCAAATAAAATTACTTATGAATTGTTAAGGAGTGTAACAACTTGGAATACAATTTAGATTTGAAACAAAAAACGTAAAAAAAATAATATGATTTTATGACAAATAATTAATCCTTTTTAACTTGAAAACTGTCAAAAAAGACATTTTTGTTTTTGCCAAAGCTTCAAAATTTGACGAAATGTGTCACAGCATTATCATTGAATAAATTAGTAGCACGAATAGCCACCTCCTTATTAGGGTGATGCTTCTCAATGTACGTTGCAACCGTTTCCCATGCTTTCAGCATTTCTCTTATTGCGCTAAGAGATTGTTACTCTGCTACTTCCTCCTCCATTAATGAGCTCTCCTCCATAGTTTCTTGCTATGAATCACGATGCAACTTCATAAGCTCTTCGGTGGTCAACTCTTGACTGTGCTCTTTTACAAGCTCTTCAATATCGTTGTTGTCCACCTCGAGTCCCATGATATTGGCCAATGACACAATCTCGTTAACTGTAGACTCCACAGGTACTGTTTCAAAATCACATTCAACAACACTCTCTGGCCAATTTTTTTCCAAACAGAAGTGAGGGAAAAAGGGACTTCCCCTTTCTGCGTAACTCGTTATGCGAAATGTCGCTCGTTAAGGGAGCAACTTCTTCACATTTTTTTTTCTGGTTATGCGAATTACTCGTTATGATATAAATGAAAGGACTTCTTTCAAGCTTAGTAAATGAATGAAATAGCGAAACGAGGTATGTAGAAGCTAGAAATACGATAACAGGACAAAAAAAAACAAGGACTTTCGGCATAAAGCCTTCCTCAGCCAACAATAGAAATGAAAATATAACAAAGAAAAGAGCACAATAGAAAACTCACGAATGGATACTGCTTGAGTTGTCTACTGTGCTCTTTTCTTTGTTATATTTTCATTTCTATTGTTGGCTGAGGAAGGCTTTATGCCGAAAAGTCCTTGTTTTTTGTCCTGTTATCTTATTTCAAGCTTCCACATACCTCGTTTCGCTATTTCATTCATTTACTCGTTATGAGAGGTTCCACTGTACTAATATTTTGGACCAAAACAAAAGTGGTGCTATTTTTAGGGATGGTACTATTTTCATGTTCAGCCAGGGATAAAAAAAATCGTTCCATGCCAGTGACAGTGACAGTACAATTTTAACGTTGTTATTTTCAGGTTTCACTATAATAGGTTTAAAAAGAATTTTTTTCCCAATCATTGTTCACGGATGTGTTATAGATATATTTAAGAAATTAAAGATTTTATTGTGCTCTTTGTTGCACTTTTTATTAAATACTTAAAAAAAAATAAATTATAAGAACCAAAAATCAAATGTAGGCTACCTAAAATTAAATATAGGCTACCTACATTTAAATAATATAAATGCAATAAAAATTATATAATATATAGGCCTACTTAATTGAATTATGATTTGCCTAGTAATCAATCTAAACTGTAATAATTATAAAACGTAGACACTAAATATATCACTGACATTATAAAACCACTTAATCCAGATCAGTATGAATTTATTTATAAAAAAATAATGAGTTTTTGTTTAATTGCCTTTTTGTTGATAATCAGCCTTTGATTTACAACTCATTTTTAAAGTATTGACAACAAATCACATGACTACAATGATAATCAAACGCGCCGTCGCACTGACACCGGCTGGCGAAATGACCCTCTTCCCGTCAACCTATCGAGCTTAATGAAATTTGGTACATAGACTTGTTGCCGATGACAACGTATTCTATAAAATTTTCAGCCCCCCCCCCCCAACACCATTTTTCAATAGGAAGATGAAGGAAATATAATGCAAACGTTCAGTGCAATGTGGGCCTAGAACCCAGATAGATTATTAATAAATAATTAGATGATAATGAGTGTAACCCAACAACTGTGTCCACATCTACGACACCGGCAAGACAGGACTGTCGAGTAGGGAAGTTCATTAATAATTGCTGCTGCAACTGGATATAATGTTTGATTACTTTATATATATGTATATACTATATATATATACAGTTGCGTAGCTAGGGGGTGCGGACCGCACCTGGTGACACCATCTCAGGGATGAAACCAAATTGAAAAAAATATATATTTACAGAGCACACTGCGCGGTCTAACCGAATTTCATGCAAGGGAAACCGATCACACGTAAATTTTCCACACATGTAACCAATCCAAATGTGTGCTTTATTAAAAGTTCATGGTTGATGCGTCAGAAAGGGGGTGACCTTATAATTGGGTCAGAAAAAACAACGTTTTGATCATGATTCAATGCCGATTGAAATGTTCAGTAACTTTCACTTAATAAGTGACAAGAAGCTATATTTATCTAAATTCTCAGAAATAAAGCTTTCCATTGATACCTAATACGATGTGGTTGGGCGTCTCTAAGTACATTAATAGAATCGGTAAAAATTAAAAACATTTAAAAAAATAAAATAAAAACAATTTTACCAATTTTTAGGGTTGACAAAATAATATTTTACACAACTTTCTGATATCTTTTAATAATTAATTTTAATTTAATTTAAAAAGTATTTTAAAAAAGTATTTTAAAACCAAATATATCGAAACCCAGAAATAATCAAAACTAAATATTTTCGCCGATTCGTCACTAGCACCGTCCTTTCCCATTTGAGCATGATTGTCACACAGCACAAAGTATTTGACATGCTATGTGAGTTCATGTTTATCTGCTACCCTTACCTTTTGGGCTGACCCCACTTGAGGAAGTTTATCTTACACAGCAGTATCTTGCAGATTAAAGGTTTTAATCTTCTCAAAGTGGTGACCAATCTTGGTGATAATTGATGGCCTAAAGAATGCTTCTGCATGAGAAGTGCTGTCACTTGGTGGAACATGCTATTCATAAGGAACTTTCGTAATCAGACCAATATGGAATATCCGTAGAGTGAAGAGAAGGGCAGGAGAATGATTAATAGATGCTGGAAAATAAAACAGTAGGGAGATGCTGGAATGTATTGATTGCGTTCATTCGAAATTCCATATCAGATCATCAGCGATCAAGGAAGTAGCTGTTCAACCTAAGAGTCTACTTTTTTGGGGCTGGTATCCGTCCGTCACAGTAGCTCCAGTGGCATCGCAGGAGTTGTCGGAATGTTTCATTGTACCAATGTTATCCACCCACGGGACTCCATCTCCGGGTTTGAATTCAGTTTCCTTCTCTTAGATGAGTTGCCATCCAAGGTCAACGAGTCCCATCCACCGGAGGTGCTGGTGAAGTTTTTGCTTGACTGTGTTTTTGGCTGGAATCGAACTCCAGAACACCCTTCAGCCACCCAGCACCCAAGAGTACACTATCAGCAAGTAAAGAAAGATATTGGTGTCCATTATGAAATTAACCTCTTTGTATGATGAGTTATCAGAAGATGAACTTTTAAAATAAATACCAAGGCTTAGAAGGCACCTAAAGGCAGCTGATATTGAATTTCACAAAGTCATGGACTGGTCAGTATTTGATGTTTTGAAATATTTAGGTGAATTGGACTTCCTAGAATCTCTCCCAATATTATCGCTAAGCCTTCATTTGTTTCTTACGATCAGTGTTTCTGTGGTTTCGTGTGAGACACAGTGAAGGGATCTTTTCAAAACTAAGACTGATCAAGAAATATTTTTGGATTTCTGATCTGGATCTACTGTCAAATTGAAAGTGATAAGGTGAAGGATATTGATTTTGATAAAGTCCTTGACAGATTTGCAGCTTTGAAGACCAGGAAAGTAAAATTTTAAATAAAGTAAAGTAAATGTAAAATAAGAAGAAGAAATCCACAGTGGAAGTCTGGGGAGGGGGGGGGGTGGCGACACATTGAGTTTACCACAGTAATGTTTTTCACATGAGGTCAATGTAGGGATCTTACAGAGGTCAATGAATGGTGGTCACAGAGGTCAAAGGTGTTTGTGTAAGAGAAATAAAAAGATCGTTTACGCTGTAAAGGTCAGCGCGTTGCCGTAGTATATTTATAATATACCTAAGCCTACTAATAGCTCCTAATCCAGTCAACGCAATATTCTGAGTTATTAGATAGTCCAATGGTCCGAAGGTCAGTCTGGCTCCCATACTATCCCTTGGTCAGTCTGGCTCCCATACTATCCCTTCGAGATGAATCTCGGGAAGACCTCTGGGTGCATGTTTAAGCAGACGAAAGTGGATTATCACGGAACTTTATACTGTATAGGAAAAGATAGACATTTCAGAAACTAAGCGAGTTAACAAAGATCCGTTATGACGCATCCCATTGTGACCAGCAAGGCCCCAGTACGACTATAACGTGTCTTTATATCATATCGGTGGAATATATAACGTCAACGGCCCCGCAAAATTCAATTTGCCCAAGGCCCCGTACCCTCCTAGCACTGGCCCTGTTTACCCCACCAGGTGACACCAACCCTAGTTACAACACTGTTGACACCCCCCCCCCCAAACCCACTGAGAAAATTCCCGTGTGTTAACTACCGATGTTTTTTAAACACACACTAATGATTTGAATTAACTAATCAGAGTTATTTTTTAAAACAAATTCACCAAGGAAGAATTAGTAAATGCCCTGATGTGGGGAGTGGGGGGTGGGTTGGGGGATTTAAAAAAAATTATTTGATTTCATTGCTCTGTTGCTGTTTTTTTATCGACGTAAATGAATTTTTTGTGTGTGTCATGCAATGTAAGTAAATTATGCACAGCGTTAGTTTATTGATTGTGATGAGCTTT